GAGAGAGAGAGAGAGAGAGAGAGAGAGAAAGAGAGAGCTTTTCTAGACGTTTCGCGAGAGGAAGAGAATTGAGACGATAACGAAGAAAAGAAGGAAGGAATACAGAATGGAACACGCTTTCGTGAAACGTCCATGACCCGCTGTAATCTTTGTACTTGTATCGTTACGATAAACCTCTTAAACTGTACCGATTATTCGAGTATTACGACTTTAAAGCGGCAGAAGTAATCTATAAATATTGTACTGTAAGTGAGAAAGCAAAATAAACGTTAAGTATTATCCTTCGAAAGCGGTCTCGACCAACGTGTAATCGCTCGTTCGTCCCCTGCTCTCGTTTCCAGCTCGATTCATCGAACAGAAGCCACTTTCTCTTCCATCTATACTCTTTTCATTTTGTCTCCCGGCTTCGATCATTCTCCGAGTCAACCCGTTAACCTGTCCACCTCTTTTCCTCTTCTCCCTTTGCCTTTCATATTCCGCCATTATCTGCTTTCAACATTTCGATATCGCCATTTTCTTAATTAACGACATCCCTTTCGTCCTTGTTCCTCGTATTCTTTCATTTGTTTCAAACATACACGTTCCACCTCCTCTACGTCGCAATTAAAAGTTTAATAAAGTTGCGAAATCTCGAAACAATGTCAAACGACCACAAAGACTCGAGGTCCCGTGAACAAAGGAATCTACAGACAAAAAATTCTTCCTAAAAGTCTGGTTACTTTTCAACAAGTTCCCAATGGAATCTCCATCGACGAGATCACGAAATTTTCGCGTTTCAGAATGGAAATCGGCTGAATGGATCGAATGGGCCCGGAAGACGCGTCTGGTCTCCGATTCACGGGGCCCGAACAATGGCATTCGGTGGCGAAATGCAAGGACCCGCGTCTGAAAGGAGGCCAGGTCTGGAAAATCCGCGAAAACAAAGAGGGCGTTTCACCGTTCGACCAAGTAGTAGCTCCGCCATCTATCGAAATCCGACACGCCGCTGGTCGAGGTGCGATGGAAAACGTGGAAGAAGCTTTCGAGCGTCGGTTCATTGTCCAAGTTCGACAGCTGCGATCGCCATTCGGAGATCCGAGCCATTCATTCGGTTCGCACCTCTGCGACACCCCTGGAACCGTGGAAACACCTCGCTCGACTGTCAACGAGCCAACCTTGCACGGTGCGAGCGTGATTTCGTGGTCGATAAAAGGGACGCCGAGTTCCTGGGAAAGTTTTCCACAAAGAAGGGCCCGCGCGTCGGATGGAACGCTGGTCAAGCCAGCTACTCGGCGTGGTCTATGGGGTGGCAACGATGAAAATTGGCGGCGACGCCATTGCACTGGGCGTAGAAGGTGATGGACGATTTTCGTGGCTGACAATGATTCGGGGATGGAGACTTTTGGGAACAGAGGATGAATCTAATTTATCGGAACTGGAACAGGAGATACACCTTGAGACCTATTTAAGAAAAGATGAATAGGAAACAGACGCAAAGTGGAAGCTTCGATTTGCTAGACGCGTGAAACGATCTCGAAGAATATCCGAAAGTATAGAGTACAGATATATCCGAAATTGATCTAATAACACGGTAGCGGAAGCTAGCATCAGTGTCCGTGAAGGAGAAATTCCGTCAAAGGTAAAAAGAACAATGGCAGATGGTCGAAAGAAGGTGGTAATCGAGGAAGAAAACGGTCCCTCGGCAATCAAGCAATCACAGTGAGCCATCGTTATAACACCTCGTTCCCTGCTCCTCGTGCGGGCAAGCAGGTGTCGAAACTGCAGCTCCCGGTGTTGGAGAGCTGCCGTCACTCAGACTCCAAATACGAAACGAGGTAACGAACAGTTAGCAAACCCACAGACGCGTTTGTTTGCATGGCCAGTGCATGAGCGAAGAAAGAGGGCCGTGACCAGTAGCGGCTGTTGCTCGTGCAGCGGGACGATAACGAGAACGGTGATTACCGACTCATGCACGCCTCTTTGCCACGACAAACTGACAATTTTCACCGTCATTATCCTCTCGAGGGCTGCCGCCATTGTTTCTGTCTCGCCGAGGGCCATTATGCGACGCGTTTACGCGCGCGCAAAGGACACGCGGTCCCTTCGGAGGTGGAACGACAGTTCAGTCAGAGGCGGCTACCTTCTCATTAAATCCATTATAGCGAGTGAGCAACGATGAACTCGAGGCTCGGATGAATCGGAGGCTCGGCTGACGGGCCCTCTCCTCGGTTAGACAGATCGTTTAGGTGGAATCTAAATCATCCGCAGGGGCCCTCTCTTCCAGCGGACGTTCAACCGTTCGTTCGAGCGCACGCTGCATCGTTCCTGGCAACCTCTCACGACTTCATTAGTACCTGCTGACTTTGGAATGCTCCGCTTAGAGGACCCGTTTTGGTCTTCCCAGCGGTCCGCTCAGGCGTTACCCGGTTACGCTCGGTTCCACCTCGGCTTTTTTGTCGCTTTCCTGATTCTTCGGCTCGGCATCGGTGTCGGGGGATCAGCGAGCAGCTGATAGGGATTTCATCCAGCCCGTTCCACGGCCTTTTGTCCGTCGTGGCTTTTTAAGTGGATCGTGTAAGGTGTGGTTGAAAGAGGGAAGAAACGAGTGTACGAGGTTTCGTTTCGCGGAT